TGTACGAAAGATCAAAATGAAGTCTTAGTAGCACACCTAAGATGAACAAATTGTCAGGCAAATACAATAAGCTTTGTATGATTTGCACATATACGTATCACTTACATTAAATGCCACCACATTATAAGTCCCTTGAACACAGATTAACATGCCGGTCTAACTATAACACCTTCCAGTGGTGCTTCACGGCGATTGACATCAAGAACCTATGATCTTCCGCCCCATACTAAAGTTGATAAGCTTGTTCGCTATGGCTGGCTGCAACCTACCTACAATCGAACTGAGTTGCATGAAGGGATATTTCTCGGTATCTCGTCATCAGGCTGTTGTTTATGCGTAGGTAGGTCTAAGCCAGCCAACACAAATATTCGCGTAGACAAAAATCAAATCAATGAATTCGGGTGTTGTGAGAATGGGGGATGTGGTTAAAAGCGAGCTGGAGGCGTAGGGTGCCCGACGTCAAATCGCGGATAACGTTCATGAGGGTTGATTAGTTAACCATTAACAGCATGGTCGAACTGGTTGGGTCATTGTAAGCAAGGGATTAATTCTTCTACTGAGTCGTATATAGTGCTGAATCTATAGGCTACGGCTTCACACAAGCACGTCAGTAAACAGCGAGGAAGCCTCCAATGTCTAGTAGGGTGTTGTAAGTTTGTTCGGCTCAGTAAGACTGGATTTAACTATTTCTAATGAAAAACCCATGCTCCAAATGTTTTTGACAAATATGCATGTTTAAATGGGTTTAGTCTCAATCAGAAACCATACAGCTCTCAGACATGTTTAGCCTCATCCCATCCGCCTCTTGCTCTGGTTTTGGTAACAATTGGGTTAATATCGTCCAGTATTAACCGATTTGGCCAATTCATGTAAATATTTCCTCTTAGATTACCATAACATACGGCTGGGAGTAATCTCGAAGTTGCAGCCGTGATTGCAAAGATGTCTTTAGTGTGTGCCGTTCATCACTTTTTAAACTGCGTGAACAACGAAACTAGATGTTAATCGTGTCCTACATTCAATCCGCCCAATTTTCCATAATCACGCGTTGGCGTTTGAATGTATTCTGATCGCGCTTGGTTAATTTGTCGCCAAGACACACGGCACGCAGTATCGATAAACAGGTGTGTCAGCACTTGGTGACAGCCGGATATGCCTATGAAATTGGCTAAAGCGGTACTGCATTCACGTAGTCATAAATAACCTAACCCTACACAGTAGTCACACTTTTTCTATGCAGACGGTGAACACCCTGGCCTTTGTGTCTGCACGGCTCACTTCCGCGTGCCATTCACTGATAATGGTCGCAGAACACATTGCTGAAACGGATACTTTACTGATCAACGAAGTAATCAGTTCGGTTTCATTGCTTTTTCTAATGGTCACATGACATCAACCAATGGTGTGCGTCCTCTCATGCTCCGTTCGACTTCACTACTGACTATGTGATGCTCCACATTCGTGATAGTGTAGATTCCTTGAGGTGACATTGATTACATAGACGGCATTTCCCTTAACTCATATTCACCGAAGATGATGAATCTCTTGTTTAGAATTGTAGGTTCTGTGGGTGTGTTGCAAAGTAAACGGCAGAACTGGGTCGTGAAAATATCCACCTGCAAAGTGGACTACTCGTTTGAGTTTCTTGGCGCGTTTACCTACATAGGAAATGTATTTCTGTGTTCTTATGTCGCGGATGAAGATTTGTTCAGTTATCCGGCCGTGCATTTCACGTGACGTCGCGTGCTATTTTTCCGCATTATACAGTACTGATTATAATTGGGAGAAGGAAGAGGGTTGAGGATAATCTTACTTGGTCTGTGGGGTGACACCCAACCTACTCAATAACAGGTGACCACAAGTCGGATTTATGACTGCGTTGTTGTATCTTGTCTGACTACGTCTGGCCCGACTGTTCCCTTTTCTAAAACGCTGAGATTCAAGACTGTAGAACGCTGCTTTTCCTCTCACCTTGGGCTTTACTCATGGACGTCAAGGAAGTCAAGGCAAGGGAGATTACCCTACTTCCGCCTAATTCTTTTTGTGTTGATACAGACATACTATTTCGGTGTATATACTGTGGATTGGCGATCAATCAGGAACATAAGCATGCTTTGTTCACCATACTACTGCACATTGGTCGTTCATTAAATGTATGCTCATGGAAGCTAACCGTACTTTCCTGTGGGGACCGGAATGTGTATTTGGTCGTGTGCTTCATTTGACTACTGAATACTCTTCACTCTTTTGCATCAACCAACTTGTTTTTTTCCTTTCAAGATGAGATACCAGATACGACTTGAAGCGAAACCGCTTGCATCTGTGCTACCGAGCGCGAAGGCTATGCTCACTAATCCTCTCAGAAAAATGATCATTTGTCCTCTAATATTTAGTCACCCTGGTTAGCACCGCTACCGAATTGAACCGATGGGAGCATACTACGTTTTCTGTTGTTTTTCGGTCGCCTGATTCTTCTATCACTTATTCACATTGGCTTGTGGCTACTCAGTGACCCTAGGGTTATTTCAGCAGCCGTTCGGAAACATGCATAAGATTGATCGTTATGCCTTTCGTGCTTGACAGCGCGGGTGGCTGCGTTTTGAATGATGTCACATCAGTTTAGTATCTGAATGTGACCAACTGGCACTGCAGCTAGGCGGCACAACAAGATAGCGTGCTTTAACCTGGGCTTTGACCGTTTGTTTAATTGCATGGTTGGCATACGCTTGTATACTTAAGGGCCATAACTTAGAAGCCCTAGTTGTTCAGCATCGCAAGGTCGCAGGCAGCGTGTTATTCAGTTCTCCATACGACCCTCCTTTGTATGAAACGTGACAGCCGATTAGTCTTTGTTGCCTAATGAGTTATCAGATGTGAACTATGAACCTTTGGTGTTCAGTGCATCTGCACGAAAAGGAAACTTGTTGAGGAGTCCCTGATTCAGATTTTGGTTACCCGCATTCGTTCTCTTCTCTAGAGTGAGAAATCTAGTCCACCATTGTACTTATCAACGTTCTACTCGTTAATGAGAGTCTGATTTGGATTAATCTAAGCTTGAGGAAAGCACCACTTTATCAAAGTTAACAAAACTACAGAATTCACTTGTCTACTTGAATGGAAACCGAATGTGTTTTAGTAGAGTTTGAGTGCCAAAAGCAATAGGTCCTCTTACCCATAAATGGTAAAAACAACGCCATACGTATAAGCGACCCATAATTTTAGTATTCCTGGATTTCCGAGGCGCACTCGACTCGGTTGATCGGTCTGTTCTTCTTGAGACGCTTGCCCACCTGGAAGTTTGTAAACGTAATACGTTCTTTGTATTCTCAGACTTCTGGACGTGTGAGAGTGTACGGAGAGCTCTCCAAAAGCCTCCATACACAAATAGCGGTGTCCGTCAGGGATTCCCACTGTCTCCATTCCTTTTTAACTTTGTGATCGATGAAATAATGAGACGAATGCTGGAGGGTCTCCAAAACCCTGGTGTTCAAATAGCCTGTGAAGAAAACCTTGTCGATCTGGAATATGCAGACGACATCGTTCTCATGTTCGAAGAGGAGGAGAAGGCGCAAGTATTCTTGGATGAACTGACCAAAGTCATCCCGTCCTTTGGTATGCATTTTGCACCCACAAAGTGTAAGGTCATGCTTGTGGACGTGCAGTCACTGAACACGCCCCTTACAATCCAGGGAGAGGTACTGGAAGTTGTGGAGCGTTTTACGTACCTTGGAAGTTGTATTAGTTCTGATTGCAGTGTGACAGATGAGGTGAATGCACGAATCTGCAAGGCTCGGGCCGCGTTTGCTAACTTGAGACACCTATGGCGTCAGAATGGTTTATCCCTGAATCTGAAGGGACGTGTGTATCAAGCTACAGTACGGGCTGTTTTGTTGTATGGCTGTGAGACTTGGCCTATTCGAGCAGCGGACCTGAGACGTCTTCAGGTGTTCGACAATCGTTGTCTCAGAACCATAGCTCGTGTGGGTTGGTGTCGGCGAATCCGTAACGAGGCAGTTAGAAAGCGTGTTTTCGGTTGTGTAACGGGTACTTCCATTGAAGAATGTGTCCAGCACCAGAAGCTGCGTTGGTTGGGACATGTGTTACGTATGCCGAACCATCGTTTGCCGAAGAGAGTGCTGTTTTCCATGCCCAATTCAGAGTGGCGTAAACAGAGAGGTGGCCAACCCTTGACTTGGCAGAGGAGTATGAAGGAGATCACGAAACGCTTGGGTGCTGCTTGCCTTCCAGGATGGGGACCGCGTGATCCTCACTGTGCCTGGTTGGAGACACTACAAGATATGGCTACCAACCGATGTCAGTAGTGTTCTTGTTGTCAGTTTCTACCCAGATTGCCTGAGTGAATGTCTGGAGGTGTAGGCACCTCGGAATGATTGTGGTAAGCTAGCACTAAGTCCCTTCCCCGTTCACCTTTACTCTCTTCTTTACAATAAGGCTTTCAAATAAATCATGTTTGTACGGCAGTGAAGCATCGGTGTTGAACACTGATGTCATGCTGTCGATGATGATGAAATGGTAAAAATTATTTTTAAGGATTGCAATTCTTCTAAGTTCCAGAAAATTTATCTACGTCCATGGCTAAAGTTACTCTCTAGCGTTTTGTGACTGCACTCAATCGTACTGTTATTTTCGGTTAATGTGGTCTTGATAAAGTGCGGGAGGAAAGCATAAGGACCAAGGTCGTTTCGTGAAACTCTAACTCATTCGGGCTTACAAGTGATGCTTGAGCAGTACCTCGCAGCAAAGTTGTAGCAATCGAAATATTGCTCAGTCGGTCCTGTGTAGTACGGTGCTCGAATATACTTTCAGTTATATCTCGCGATAGGATTGACTTCTCAGTCGAATAAAGCTGCAATATGCACATCACATTTCGAGTACTTCTAGTATGTGTCTGTCGTTATCTTGCACCACGCATGTCATCATGACATTACTCTCGCGTCGGTTCATCTGTCTGGTGCATTGTTTCCTTGGTTCACCTCCAGGTCAGTATCCACCCGCCCATCTGGATGGACCGAATGGCAGCCATTTATCTGATCAAAAGTCAACCGGTGTAGTTGTGTACATATTTTCCTGCACGTTTATTTTTTCTCTTTATCCTCATTCCGATGTGGCATTTTTCCCACTCTCTCCTGGTACTTTTTTTCCATTGCAACGACTAGCTGTGTTTCGGCACAGCTTTCTGCTTTTCGAACTCGTATGTTCGTTTACTCTTTCTATTTTTTGTGTGTGCAAGGCCAATTCGCAACAACACTTTCTAATTTATTTGGTACAATGATATCTGTTTAATCTGTAGTCGAAACTGGGTGGCTGGGTATGTGTAGCGTGCGCGACGCCAGCATGGCTATCTTTTTCGCTTGATTTCACGCACTCCTTTCCTTTTCAAAGTATCCGAATTTGTGATCGAATATCCCTTAAGACAACTCTGAGTTGAATACAGGGTCCGAACCAACTGAAGAACTAATCGTGTTTCAGTGTATCAAATCGCCTTTGTTATCAATCGTTTAAGATAGCAGGTTATGTATACTTCCCGTTATACTATGCCCTGCAAGCCGACCACACATCTACGATTCTCATCTGTCGTCTATCCATATTATGGGAGACATTTTAGCCTCATACACGGCTGCCCATTATGTACCACAAGCCTTTGTTAAGGGTATGCTTGTATCTGTGTGTGGCCCAGTCTTATAGTCAAATACCTAGAAAAAAAACAGTATAGATAATGAAGTGTACTGTGTTAAGTTGGGGTCGTTCTACTCGCTGTTCACAAAAGCAAAAAAGCTTTGAAGTTATGTATTCTGGAGTGCGAGGCTGCCATAATTTTTCCTTCGGTTATAGCAGCTTGATTTTACCTACGATGTGTGTATTCCATCTTATTGTTTCGTGCAAACGACAAACTAAGCCGTTTAGACAGTCTAGACAGCACATTTTGCTCCTCACGTGATTCCATGATATCTGAAAATCTATGGGGTAGACCTCGTCCTCGTATCCATTCTAGTCTACCATCGGAAGTCGCTCTTGTTTCAAACGCCCAGAACCTGTGAACCCTTTTGCTATGAACCTTGAACTCGGTTACGAACTGCAGAGCGTCTTTGTATTCCGTGTGTTTGTCATCCGCTGGTTAACAGCGCTCGGCCGCTTGTGTTTGACACTGGTTCATAGTTTGTGATGAACCCTAGGGGGCTCATTGAAAAAATACCACCAAACAGGAGAGGAGGGAACCCGGATAAGAAATTGGTGAGCTTCACACACCACACGAGCTCCTGTTTATGAGCGAACGTTCAAAAAGTGATCAACGCTATCTGTTTTATTGATACCCTTTCTTCAGGGCTAATGCCATTCAGTGCGCTACTAGGAGAGTTCAGTCGGTAGGACCTCAGGTATGTCTGGTTGCGTCCCAGCTGTGTCTCCAACCTAAAACTAACAAGTAAACGTTTTCAGCACAACAACCACCAGAAGTATGAAGGGTGCATTCAACATCCAAAAACAAGTCGGATGTGTGGTAAACGATAGTACTCCCAGACATCGAGCTCGGACCCTTGGCGATCGACACCCAAACATTATCGACGATTGGGTACAGATTTTCAACAAATCAGGGCTCGCTTTGATGCTGGACCAACCAGTTGTTCAAACCTTCAGCCAGTAATGAGCTAGTTAGGTTTGTTGGTAGCTATAATGCCTAAGTGTGAGCAGTAAGGCAGTTTGAGTGTGTTGCTTTCTGACTGGGATTGATCTGGCCTTAAGAAGAGGGTACTGTCTGGCTTCCACTTTTGCGCATCATTCGAGTCCGCGGCAAATATGGGCGCACGGCGTTATGGGAATCCATGAACCGAACTCTGTAGAGCGTGAGTTTATGTAGGGTGGCGGAGTGCGAAACACTTAATTAAGCAAAAAAATAGTAGCGTTTTTTTCACCAAATTCAGCTTGCAGATCCAATCGAACCCCGCGAGTTTAGGCTCGGGGCATGATGTCAGATGGAATGCAGCGTGAGCCGTCAAGTCACTGAAGTTTCCGGAAGCGTTGGTCTCGCCGGTCACTTTTAGCTTGCCCAAGGAAGCATTGCTGTCCAGTGTTCAGGCGGCTTCATCTGAGGTTGCACAGCGTCATGCCACGGTCCATGTTCTGCTGCGAATGAACCGGGTTTTTGATACGCTCCAACACAAACTTTCTTTGCCAAGCTCAGTGAGCCTTGAGGGTCATCGCTGTCGGGTGAACTGCTACTGACGAGTTGCATGGTGATGTAATGGTAGCTGCAGCCTTTGAGCCGGACTAAAATCCTTGTAGTCCTGAAGACTGCCTAAACTGGCAGTGAAGAGCAAAATGTCACTCAATAAGAGACAAGGAGGTGCAGGGCTGTCACGTCGCCTGTTCAAATCGCTCCGAAGACATAGATTTTAGTTACAAACTTTGTGGAGTGGTCAGGAATCACCTCGGCACAGTTGCTCCCCTATAGCTGGTCCATTTGGAGCTGGTTCCACGGTCACGGGATGCCAGGTAAGCGGGTCTCAAACAGTAGAACATATTTGTGACTCGCTCCATAAGGTAGCCGTGAATCGCGGAGTGCGTTACACCGGAGCACAAGGTACCATAATCTGACCCAAGGCAACCCAATACCCCTCGGACGGTTGAACAATATCCGTAAAGTCAGCTGCTGATCAGGCGCAAATTTTTTCTTGGAAGAAACGAGTTAAAGCATCTCGACCACGTCTTAATTAGATCCAGAGGTTTGACCATCCAAGTGGTTGTTAGTTTCACGATTTTTACACTAGAGAGTCTCTCCAGTCGGTCTTCCTGGTAAACTGTCTTCCCACTATTTAAATCCGTATTCCGGGTAAGGTCTTAATGAGACAAGTTATTGGGTGATTTATACATCGGGATGGTAGCTAGTGACAGCATCCCTAAGTTGGAATATAGCACCCTCCTAGCACGGCGAGAAGCAGCTACCTATTATTCCAAGTTCATGTGTACAAGGAATTCAGCATTTTGGAATTTCGTGGAGCATATTTTGTGGGCCACAATGTAATATGCACGCAAGATGAGAGGTGACCAACGGTGATTAACTGATTTGGGGGCCAGAGTCATGTTGCCCATTGTGTACCTTCCAACTCCTATCATTGTTCTCTGCAATTTATTGCAAAGCCAGAATGTCGGGGAGACACAACAGACGCTTGCCGAAATCGTGTTTGCCAAGATTAGACTGATGATGTTCCGGCACATAGTCACATGATTCCCACACCACGTTTTGTCGTACCTGGCTTATAGGACATTAGGCAGTGCTTCTCGGTCTTCCACCATAGATTGGCCTCACTCTTAAGTAGAAATACCAGAATGATCAAATCTCTTCACACTATCAACATACCGTATTTTATTCTCGCCCTAGGACTTTCCACAAGTGAACTTTTTTTCCGTGAGTGTAGATCTCACGTACCACCATAATTACTCCTTGCGTGCCTTCACATGGCTGTAAGCATCTTAAGAGAAAGGATCATGCCTTGATACTCGGCAGAAGCCGGACACAGAAAGTGGATGCATTTCCATGGCAGTTATATCGTTTCTTTACCCTCCTTATTGTATCCGACGGCGTATACGACTGAGAGTTACCGTAGGAACTTTTAAATTTCAGGTAGCTTTGTGTCCAAATCGCACTTCAAATCTACCCTTTGTCTGTCGCTTTAATTTATTCCACGTCTTCCTAATACCTTTGTATCATCGGAAGATTTTAATGCTTAGACGTCCTAAACTCTAACTTAATTCCTTGACCAACATTTATTTCCATAAACCACATCACCGTCTTCCGATATCCACTCCAGAATGGCATGCTGTCCACCTCTAGTCTCTTGACATTGGTCCCTATGCTGATGCGTTTGTCTTTGATATAGTTATCTTCCCAACTCCATGTTCTTGCATGCTCTAGTACCTCATAGTTGTTCATCTTAATATAACGGTGAATATGTTTGGAACGGGTTGTCTGATCTGCGTGTGCAACAAGTCAAACGCTCTTACCAAAAACTTGGTCTATTCCAATCGAGTCCATAGCATTATCATATCTTTTCGTCGCAAGGTCTGATAGTAGGTGTGCTAACTACTCCGTAAGTCCCATCGGGATGTGAGTGTGCATATAACTAGCTAAGTAATGGGTAAATTTTAACATTCGCCAACCTTTCTTTCACAATGTATCTTCCAATTTTCTGCTGTAGAATTAGAATTTCCAATGATTATCATTTGTTCTAACCTCAACCGGAAATTTTACAGATCAGCTGGTAAATTATCGTCTCCGTCTTGGGTGATTCACTGTCTAGGGCAAGCACATACAACGCAGATTTAGTTGTTTTCAATTTTACCATAATTCTTCAAATGCGACCTTTTGTGCCCTGGTAACCATGTCGACGAACGCGTGGAAAGTCGTCTCTGCTCTTGGTGGCACAACGCACAGTAATTCGGTTATACTGGTCAGTCCTGTACACTAAAAAACCTGGGAATCAAAACGGATCATCGCCACTCGACCAGTACTGTCTGGGTTAATGGTGAATTCGTTTCTGGCTGTCTACCGTAGATCATCAGTCTTATTACTATGGTTACAGAAATTTCAAAAATTGCCTTCAGCTGAGGACCGTTTTTTAACACTCACACCTTTCAAACATGAAGCTTCAAGGATCAGTGAGGCATTTATCTGGACTCAACTCCTTCGCCACACAAGTCACCCGTTTTTTCTATACACTGGCGTGTCGAGCGCTTTGTGTTTAGAGGAATGGCCAAAAAAGTAGTTGAAAGAAAAGATCCCCTTTTAACTGTCGTAAACATTTCACTTGATTCCGTCGCTTCCGAATCATTGATTGCAGGCAGATTTTACTGAATTTGGGTGTTTTAGGCATGCCGAAATTCCCACTTCAGTACTAGAGCTCAGTCCGCAAGTTCTCCCACACTATACACGGGGTTACACTATGAAAGTTGGCGCCTAATAAACAGCCATAATAAGCAAAAAATCGTCAACTGTTATGTAGCTTCCTGGCGCCATTCACTTTTCCATTCCGCTCATAGTGCATTTTTTGTATGTACATATTATTCCCCTAAACCTTGCGCCATATCAGCCCAAGGGCTACCCGAAGAAACGAGACAGCACCATCGACAGACCATTCATTTGATCGGCTAGTTCTCTAACCTATGGAATTTTCTCTTCCACTGAACTAGCAAATTCAGTGGAGGGCTTTACATCTATCCGCTGCAAACGGAGCCTCGAATTGCTCCTGTAG